CAGTTTTAATACAGAATTTGATTATTGGGGCCATTTTTACCTACCTGTCATATGGGGCCATTTTTACCGGGGCCATTTTTTCCGGGGCCTTTATTTCCGGGGCCATTTTTTCCGGGGCCATTTTTTCCAGGGGCCATTCTTACCGTACACCCTGATTCCAATGTAGTAAGTTTCAACCACTGGCGTTTACGGTACATCATCATAAATATTTGGTTGTCAAACGTATTTTTGGCGGGTTTGGCTTTCCATAAGGTCTCCTTACTCCTATTGGCTGTCTCCCTGAATCCTATGATCATCAACTGGTGGTGTGGACACTCGAAGTCATGACGTGGAATGTTCCTTGAGGTCTTAGAGTCCCTGCTCGATGTTCAATCCCTCGCTGTGCATTTCGTCTATGTCCTTAGGCAATGCACTTTACCTACGGTTGTCTCTCTCCGCCCATGAGTACAAGTGGGTAACCACCTGGCAGGTTCAAACGTCACAAAATTCGCTAATTACAGCTGCAAAGTTATGGTATTCTCCCCAGGGACCTAAGTATGTTCCATATGTGTTTGATCCAATGAAAGGTGGTAATAACTTCTTTCCCCCATGGTAATAATGAGAAGCGCTTATGTGCCTTTTTGACATAAAGCGCTATATTATTATAAGTCTAACATTGTTATTATAAAAGTACAGGTACAATGCTACAGCACCTGGATAGTACACCGCATCCTTTGTTTTGATTTACTTACTTATCGATTCAAATATAAATTCACATATTTATCGTGAACACCATATGGATGAGATGAATGCATTCACAATTAATAATAGGCCTATATAAGTATTTACTCTATCGAAATAAATATATATATTTTTAGAAGAGTCCGCCTTGGAATTGCATTCTCTGTGATACGTTGTACGGTCGGACGTTCATAAGCTGGAATTAGCTGCTTAAATGCATTGACGAGGTTTATAATTAGCTGAGAAGAAAAAAAAATGTATGTGTATGAATTTGCACGAATTTAAGTTAGAAAGTCTTCCTATTCGTTGCTCGTACTAATATCTACACCTTAATTGTACCATTTCGTATATAATCACCGTTTGGTCAGACGAAAACAAAAAAAAAACAAAAAACAAAAAAAAAAAACGAGAACGGTTACTATATCCAAAATGGACCTTTCGGAGTGTCAGTCAAGCTTGACAGAGCTGACCAAATCAGAACAGAGCCAAGAATACGCGCGTGACCAACAACACACGTGCTCTCCCACTAAAAACGCAGTGTTTGCGTATGTTGCCTTACATTTTGAGGGTCATTAGCAACAATATCCAAGGGGCGTGGCTTAGCGGAAAGGTACATTGGAACCAGCTCCCTGGACATGTATACTCGTACTGCAATTCGAAATACGCAAAACCAAATAGGATTCAATTCTACATCACTACAGCAGCTGTACCAACAGCTGAGTTTACATTCACTTCCTATTTAATTTATTTTCTAATGTTTTTTTAATAATTTACAGGCATAGTAAACAATCTCTTTGACAAAGTCAACACTCTGCAACTACAATATTATTAATAACAAGAATCTTTGTTCATGTAGATCACTAAAAAATGCCGAAAAATCAATTTTTTTTTAAATTTTTTTTTTAATGTTCTGAAAATTAATCGTGGTAAATAATTGTGTATGGAACTACTGTATAAACATGCCTAAATTGTCTCTTCAATTGTATCAAAAATTCATTTAAAGACATAAAACGTGGGAGATTTTTTAGCCATATTTATATAGGGTGGTGATCCTTCCAGCGTGTTCTAGAATATCGGCTGATATCCAGGGCTACGTAAATAAGTGAAATAATTATGCTGTCACAGGATTTGAACCAGAGACCCTGAAATTAGAAGGTAGCAGAAGTGATTAGGGTGGTAACAGTAGTAACAGTTGCAGTGGTAGTAGGCCTAGTAGCAGTATCAATAGCAATAGCAGCAACAGCAGCGAGGGGCTCGATCATTACATGAGCAGGAGGCGTAAGCTGGTAATATGAGGCAACTTTTTAACACACTTCATTGTAATTATTTTCCTCAGCAAATGTAAAGTAGTGGCGAGAGTCTCGAGGGCTCTGGATAGTACTGCAGTAGTAATAATATTAACGCACCAATCCTATGATTTATGCTTATTTCTTCTATCTTTTAAAATATTTTACAGGTTACAGACTAAAGTGGAGTGGATACTTGGAGACTCTACCAGACCTGTTTGTGTGAACTGAGTCGGACACATAATAGGAGGAAATGGATGATGGGAATGAATCCTATCTGGAGCCGGAGGAAGACAGAAGCGCAGAGCATATTGCGTTGATGACATGCATTTTCGTAGTCATTACTATCGTCGGTGTAATAGGCAATGGATTGATCCTTTTGACAGTGTTGCTCAACTCCTCAATGCGAACCGCCCCCAACGTTTTACTAACAAATTTGGCTATTGGAGATTTACTGATTCTAACATTTTGGCTTCCTGACCAGTACGTGAAGACTCTAGATGGCCATTCAGAGAGCATAACACATTCATCACGTTTCATGTGCATTGCGGTAGAGTCTTGTCAAGTGATATCTCAAAGCGTCAGCGCTCTCACTCTGACTGTTCTAAGCCTAGACCGGTATTTTGTCATCACCAGTACAACAGGACGGAGCGTCAGTTCTCTGTTAAAATTTTACTTCGCTGTCGTTTGTTTTATCTGGTTGGTCGGGCTTGGTTTCGCTTCTCCAATCATATATTTTGCAAAGTTTGAGCGCTTTTTGGATATAATTAACGATAATTCTTCCTTAGCCTACGAAGAATACATGGATACGTATGTATGTCAGCGAATGCCCCTCTGGACAGTTAGTATAAGGGTTTACGAGTTATGCCGTGCAACATTGCTTTATGTAATACCGGTTTTGATCATCGGCACTTCTTACTCACTGATGGCGCGCAAATTGCTTGGCAGTCTACACAATGTGCGCCGCCTGTCGTCTAGAACAAGTAGTCGCAGTCAGCAGACAAGAACACGCAAGCGACTGGCGATCGCTGTTCTTGTGATCGCTATTCTTTTTGCAATCTGCTGGCTGCCGGAGATGGCAATCAGCATCCTCAGAAGCATCGACACTGTATACGTGTATAATATACCTACAGAATTAACACAGGATTGGGCCCCACTGTTTGTGTACATAAACTGCTGCGCGAACCCCATAGCTTTGGGGCTCACTAGTTTAACGTTTCGTCGATATTTCAAACGCTATTTGCTATTTGAGTTTGTTCGGAGCATAAGGACGGATGATTCTACGGGAACCGAATACCGTTATATTAGCCTTACAAATCGACTTCAAGCCGTAAATAAGCAGAACCGCACGGAATCGATAGAATCAACGGAAGTTGATAAAACGTAACTTGAATAGACAGTTTAAAGTAGGTCAAATGACGTCATAGTTACGTGTACAAGATCATAATGTAAGAAGACGAATCCAAACGCAATATAAGAATGTTGACACATTCCGTCGAAAGAAAGACGATACGTCCACATGTGAAAATGAAGTAATGACGTCAACGACTATTGATATCAGTTTTGTATTGTCGAATTTCTTGTTCATCATTTTGTTGCAGTAGTGTAACACAGTTTGTGATGTGATACATTAGCCGAAGGATTGCCAAGCCAACTTGCTGCTGCATCTTACCTAAAAACACTCGCTAAGCAGACACGTGCCACGATATATTTTTAAACAAAAATATAATTACTTCAGGACATTTACTTGAATCCTTTTGATCACACTTGTTTGTATTCGTGATTAAAAACGTGTATTTTGAAATCTTTGTACATTTCGTACATATCCTACTACATAAATGTTAGTAAATTTGATTGCATTTGAGAGGAAAATGTTACATTTTTTTTTCAATGTGCAGTTGATCGTAATCGCATGAAACAGTGAACAACATTTTTTTTTCTTTTTTTTTTTCTTTTTTTTTCTTTTTTTGGAAAGCGTATGACATGTATAAGTTTAGACTCACAAAATAATTTAAACCAATTAGTATGACCAGATTTATAGTATAAATTAGACCTATTAAACATTAAAATATGCCCGTTGTCAGGGGAATCCTCAATCGGTTCATTCAGCCGGCCCACTGGGTCGTAACGTTGATAATAAATTCACGAGATTATTTTCTGTAAAAAAAAATTGATGAAAATGTAACCATACTTATTTAAATTATTATATTTCTGTTCCTATCTTTATGAATGGTTGAACTTTTATATTTAATAAATACTAAATTATGAAATCTATCAGCTCGTATATAGACCTATCAGATTAGTTCTTATGTGAATTTCATATTTTAATTTATTTATATAATCAATATTTGATAGCTAAATAGTGTCAAAATAATATACATTGAATTCTAAATATTTTGTGTGAAAGTTGGTCATAGTTTGTCAAATAACATGCTACAACCTATGAATGTAGTAACGCATTATACATCTGCGATACACCAGAAATTCATCATCATTACTTTAACCAATCTATATTCCCAGAGACGCAGTAAAACATATCTCGGCCCTTGAGTTCCTACATGGTGTTAATGTTCTTATAGTAAACGAAAAGTATATTTGAATAAGAGTTAATGTATTGAATATAATAAAGCTCGTGTCATTCAGTGACTTAAGACTTTCTTTAACTACACGTCCCCAGGCAAAGTCGAATCAGCGTATATTCAGAGACAGCTGCTATTTACAATGATCTAAATGAAGAAATGTACATAATGAAATTATTATTTAATGTATTTTCTTATGATGAAACATCCTATCATACTGTTTGTAGACCATCGTGTGCAATGCTTTCAATGCCGCTTTATATAGACATATTTAATTAATATGAAATTGGTAAGTCCGATAATTTTCGAACTTGTATTTTTGAGATATGTGTGGTTGCCACTTCAAAGTATATTTATATTTCAACTGTCGTTAATATTATGATATGTTCGGTATAAGGCCAGTTGTAAGAATATTACTTTTTAACGGTGTATAATTTAAGAATATTAAGGTAAATTTAATAACGGTGACAAATTTGATATATTGAACAAGATGAAATATTATAATGGACAAATTCAGTAAATGGAGGCATGACAAGTTTGATAACGTTGACGAAAGTACAAATGGTAAATTGTGGTATTAGCAACTGTGGCGACTTTGACAAGGGATTGGTGGAGGAAATCTGAATACGGTAGCAAATTTGACTACGATGGTAAAAGATAAATTTAATAATGGTGACGAATTTGATAAGAATTTAAGAGAATTTAATTGATAACTATTACATATTTGACAAAGATGGTACAGGATGAATTTAATAATGGTGACAAATTTGAGAAAGGATTAATCTGGTGGTGACATATTCGACAAAGACGAGAGTGGTGACAAATTTGAACAAAGGCGATAGAAAATGCATTTGATAATGGTGATCAATATGAAAACGATGACAGGTATTAATTTAGAAAACGTGACATTTTAAAAAAGACAACAGAGGATGACTTTGATAATGACGGTAGAGGATGAGTGATAATAGTGACGAATGTGACAGCAATGGTATTGAACGATACCGTATTTGACAATAATTACGAACTTTACAAAGCTGATAAATTATGAATGTGATAAATTACTTGACAACGACAGCAGAAGATATATTTGATAATGGTGAAAAAATTGACAACGATTGAGGGTGAAAAGATATGTAAAAGTTTAATTTGACAACGATGACAAGATAAATTTGAAAGCAGTAAGGAATTTGACAACGATGATAGAAGATGATATTACTGTATTTGACAATTGACAAACAGATGAATTTGATAAAGTGACGAATTTAACAACGATCATTAAAATAAATGTGATAATAGTGACAATTTGACAACAACAGAAGATGAATTTGATAATGATAACGAATTTGACAAAGACGATGAAGGATGCATTTGATGACGATGACAAGAAGAATTTAATAATAGCGACAAATTTAACAAGATGGTAGTAATGGTGAATTTGATAACGACGACAAATTTGACGACGGTAGAAAATGAATTTGATAATGGGGACAAATTTAATGATGTCGATTGTATAGGATTAATAAAGATGGTAAAAGAGAACCAGTGGTATTTGCATGAAGTAGATAAACAATAAATACATATTTTTTTTATATATATTTAAAGAATAAGTTCATAGGTGGCTCTTAAACTATTCAACTGACATGCAGCTCTAAAAAGAGAAAGTTTGTTCTATACTTTTAAAGCAACTGATAATGTGCGAATTTTAAATAGAGAGCGTTTGAGTATTAACATTGAATGCGTAAGTTAATGCGAGAATCCAGAAATTAATTTCTTTTATTTGATGAAAACGGTTCATCATTTGTGCTCAGATTGAGACTAAATTAATTTAATTTAAAAGTTCTTATCTGCTTGCAGATTATTGAAATTCTATTGTATCTCATGTTATATTCATGAAAACTCAAACTATATACACCATTTAATTAACATGAGGATAACATACAAATTGTTTTAGTTACATCTTATAAATAAAGTTAATCAAATTATTGCTTAGACGATATGAGTACGCGGCGCTTGTAGAATAATAACTTACGCATACCATTAATTGCTTTGAAAGTGACATAATTATGCCGCAAAAGGCTGTCTACAATCTATATCCGTATACCCTGGAGTTGTTCATAAGTTAGCACGCTGACGTAAACATCCAATCCAATCCAATCCTGTTCCCCGTTACTTCATTTCTCCACTTGTAAATAAAGACACATTAGCCGATGGTAAAAAACGGAGGATACACTTTATTTGCCATGGGAAAAATATACCGTCATACTCTATAAATACAAGTGTGCATGACCAAAATCGAATAAATTGAAACAGAAAAGTGTAAAGTGAATTTACTATTACTATAATAACAAAAAATCCATTGAAAAAAAAAACTCTCAGAAAAGAGTAAAATTGGCGTAATAAAGCCTCCTCCTATAGGAAGTCTCATCATCATCATCATCATCATCATCGCCGCGTCTCCGAAAAGTCAAACGGAAGTTTCGCTTCGGCCGCTTTAATTAGTTCGTTGATGAGCTTTTTCCATATAGGTCTGTTTTGTACTGGTGTTCTTAGTTTCTCCATGTAATTTTTAATTTTGTAATATTGCGCTGGATATTGACTGTTGGCGAGCCAAAGCTTGTTGAGGTCGCTATGGAGAGTTGTGATTATGGTAGCTCCTTGACGTCCCATGAATTTTCTGTTGTTTGTCTCAATAAAATAGAAGTTAATTGCTAGGTTCGTAGAATTGTTTTTGTCAAGATGTGGCCCAATTAATCGCCATCTCGATTCTAAGATTTCTAATGAGAGGGGCATCGCAGTACATCGCTCATAAAGGTGCCTATTAGATATTTTATTGTGGGGAGTCTATTTACGGTAAAATTTACCCCTCTGTGTTAAGAGTAGGTTTGTTAAAAGGAAAAGAATTATATAGGCTACGTAATAAAATTTAATTTTTAAATACTGGTTTAGGTTAGGTCCCATGCTCCCATCCAGGAGGCTTAACCCTTAAGCAGCGTAATTTATCATCAGGGTGGCAGACCTCTTCCTTTTACGTGCCGCCATTCTTCCTTGCTTTCCAGCATGTAGTCTGTATTTTTTCTGTTTTAGTAGGCCTGTATATCTCTTGTCTCCTGCTGGTCGTAGATCTAGTAAAGATTATAAGATTATACCGTACAATTGGGATCGTGGAGATTACAATTATTTTTGCAGAAAGCATAAAGTTGATTGGACAATAGTTGTGTTTAGCTGCGCACAACAGAACGTTTTTTTATGACAATCCGTGCAGACTTCCCTCTGACAATCAGCAGACCGTGTCACTTCGTCTAACGCTCAGAGGAAACGGAGTTTGATTCGCCGGCCGGCATTAACAAATGATTTATCGACACAACCAATGTAAACTTTGGTTTCCCTTTATGTTTTGTTTGATAATCAGGGCCAAACCATTGTCACAAACGATTACATAGCCTGATATCCCTGTAAAATTAGTACCATTAGTATAATGGAAATTTCTTTTCAAGATTAATTACAAATACATTTGAGATAAGTAATTCGGCACATTGGCGTTGCTTTTTTCGTAAGGTTAAAGTGCACAACGCCTTATTCCGATGTATCCTAATACAGGTTTTTTAGAAATATATCATCTTACATTTAATGTTTGTGATCTTTACCTAGGTAACGTAACAAATACTTCAGTTACGTCATCGAAAATTAAAAACAATCAGAAGGCTATCCATTTAGTCTCCTAGATATGTAAGTGTGTCTTCCTTGACGACATTCGCTTTTTTTTTTATGCCAGCGGCCGTTTCAAATATTATTTGCTTTTCATTTTTTAACTGTCACAAGCCAAAAAGACCCAGAAATTCCTCTCAACCTTCTCATAAATAATCACCGTTGTCTACACCTGCTGACCAACGCCTATATGCTCTGGCTTGAGATGACAACATTTTTCTTAAAATATATTAATTCTGCTAAGACTGGCAACCGCAATATTGAGAACGATAGACAGACGATTAAGCAAGACATAAATAACATTTTAATAACAGACATAACAACTTGTATATAGTACAGTACCAACATTTTCATCATGTAGATCTATACGTTAAGGAATGTTGCTTTGCGTGTTGTTATGTTATTACACCTACCAATATTACAATGAACATTTCCATATTATCTGTAATTGTGTTTATAATAAACCTCGTTATCTGAACGAAAGCTAACATAAGACTGTTTCTCGACAATAAAATTTAAGCCTTGTACTCACTGCGTCGTCCGACAGTCGTACGACCGTCAGCCGACGAATCCAACTCCGGTCCTTGTGAGCATTATTCCACGCAACGCCATCCGCTGATTTCCGGGGGTGCAGTCTGAACTGTCCGTCATTAAAACAAGATCCGTTGCGCACGCGCCGTACAGCTGCGTTCTCCATAAAATCGCGTCGGCCGACGACCGTCAGGCAACTGAAGCCAACACTAATCTAAACAAAACACATCATATGCGATAACTACGATTAATTTTAGTGCTTCATGAAATTAGGGATGTAAATTTGGTAGCATTTAGCAGTGCTTTTCATTAGCTTTATGGGCAACAACACTTATCTATAAATCTTAAAACGCAAAACTTAATTGACTATACATACAGTATACACACGTACCTTGGTATGCTCAACGATAATGACTATAAACATTGAACCAATCGATTTTGACGTTTTAGCTTCAGTCATTTCAAATTGTCATATACGTAAAGGTGCAAGACAATAGGAAAACTCTGAATGGACTGTTGAGTCAAAAGAGAAGCCAGCAATGTTTCAACATTTAAATATCTTGACACTTTAGCGACAGTGTAACGATTTTAAGGGGACACCAGTCGATGACTCACTGCGCCCGACGGTCCTCGGCTTAGACGATTCTATGGAGAACGCAACGCCAGGGGCACGCACGCGCAATGGATCACATTTTAAATGACGATCACAGGGGTGGCACCAGGATTTCCCCGACGGGAGGGGACGGGCGATGTCCCTGACGAGAGGAGGGGTCGGGGCCCTGACGAGAGCAAAGTGATCGTAATCGGGCACCATTCAAAATCTTTCGACAGTGGTCAGGGGTGGGGGAGGTCGAAGCCTACAGAATATAACATTTTAGGTGTTTAAAAGGCTAAGTTTATTTATTTATTTATTTATTTATTCAGGTATAAAAGGAAATATAAAAACGGCAGCCAAAGGCTGAAATGATTTATTAAATCGATTTTAGAGTCTATGAATATGTAGAAAATACATATAATTTCATTCTCACCCGACGCATTGTGGTTTTTCTTCCTGACAAGGTGGGGGGGGGGGGCAGCTGAAACCGACAGGGCCCTGTCCCCCTCTCTCCCCCTCTACAGAATATAACATTTTAGGTGTTTAAAAGGCTAAGTTTAATTATTTATTTATTTATTTATTCAGGTATAAAAGGAAATATAAAAACGGCAGCCAAAGGCTGAAATGATTTATTAAATCGATTTTAGAGTCTATGAATATGTAGAAAATACATATAATTTCATTCTCACCCGACGCATTGTGGTTTTTCTTCCTGACAAGGTGGGGGGGGGGGGCAGCTGTAACCGACAGGGCCCTGTCCCCCTCTCTCCCGCTTCTCCCCACTGACGCCACCCCTGGACGATCCTTTCAGACTGCCGCCGACAGTCAGCAGACGGAGCCGCTCACAGGGAGGGGCCGCAAAGTACGGTCGTACTATAGTGAGTGGCAAGCTAATCGCTATTATAACTTTACAGTTAACGTCTCTTCTCGTCATTTTCTAACATAACAAAAGTTGTATGACGTTTTGTGTTTATTGGGAGGAAATATAATGCTTTGTATTTGTTGGCAGGAAGACTGACGTATCAAGGGGAAAATAAGCGAAATTTAATCATGATAGTGATTCTTCTAGGAAACTCTAATCTCCATAACAACGTTTTCCAGACTGTAATAATGAATTAAAATAGTTAATCATTAGCAATTTGTTATCAATTTATAATGTGTTTGTAAACATTGGTTTATAAATCACAGCTTATAGGAAACCAATAGTAGACCTCTCTCTTTACCAAGAAATACAACTTAAAGGTATTGCACTAAAAAAATAACGGTAAATTCGTCATTATACACATATTCTAAGTCAGAGTATGGTCAGAAATGTTGCTTGTCTAATAAAAAAAATAATCACGTATATGTGTCACTGTTTCGCGATCAATAAATTTACATGTTTTATAACGTCTTGCACCTCATCTATATGCCTATAAAAACGTAAACATGATTAATTATCCAAGGACTGAAGAATTCATCACAATGAATATACTGTAGATAATATATAATAACAATACTAATTAAAGTCAGTTTTTATCATTATGCTTTACTGTATGCAAATAGAGATATGAAATATAGAGAACAATGACATTAATGGAAACTAGCTTATTTATTGGGTTCATAAAATCTATCTCAGTTAAGCAACTGACATTGTACTTCACATGCCGTTTATGTCAACGTACTTGTAAACCAGCGCCAACTTGCTTATGATACATTAGGGATGAATGCTGGAGACATTTTGATTGCAGACCACACGCTCACATAAAAATAACACTGCACGGATAACGGATACTACGTCACTAAAAACACATTGATGAGAAGGATGATGATGATAATGAGATGATGATGATGATTATTATTTATTATTATTATTATTATTATTATTATTATTATTATTATTATTATTATTATTATATATGTATATGTATATATATATATGTATATATACATATTTATATTTATATGTATATATATTATATATATATATATATATATATATATATATTCTAATAATATCATCGTAGGTGCTGAAATTTTGTTTTGTTACCTACCTGTATAATGTACATCTTTGTTTTGTTTTTTTTTCTTCTTTTTTGGCTTTTGCTTTTAAAGCTGGTTGTTTTTTGTTTTTTTTTTAATTGTTTAAGGCCTTTCATCCTTTTTAAATTTGTTATTGGGTGTCATTTTAATGCTGATTTTTGTTTTATTCTTGATGCATTTTATTGAAGTTGATTAAACCTCTTGTTGCTTTTATGTGCTTTTTGTGAGAGGGAACAACATCAAAATACCATGGATCACCTTTTTGTATTTACTTATTGTGGGTGGTCCTCTTGGTTTCACTTTAATAATTTTTGATCTTCCGCTTGTTTTTACCCTAATAAATTGACTGATTATTACATAGCGCAATCATTAACCGATTTAAAAAAAAATGGTTTTGAGTACAATGACATGGAATGGACGGCTTATTATATAAAATTACACATTCGTTTTTCATTATTCACGAAATGCTGTTCTAGGGTCAAACTTATCTTTCTAAATGTATTTATAGGTACAATGACTTACAATGGACATTTACCGAGTCTCAATCAAACTTAACTGACCAATCAGAACAAGGCCAGGAATACGCGCGTGTTTTATGAGCCCATAGCAAAAATATCAAAGGGTCGAGGCTAGCCAAAATCGTCCATTCAATAACACACCAGATTTGAATTCTTGATTGATAACGCTTTTTGAAAAAAAGGAATGATTTGATTTTGTAGAAAGTGAGGATGCTGTCGTAGTGTTTATCTATTCGCAGTATATGCTGTACTTCATTTGAATAGAAAATGTCACGTTTGAATAAGTGCAGTTTTCGCACATGCGCACTACACCCCCAAATGCATGTAGTATGTTTGACATGGTTTGATCAGATGACAAGCAGCGAACACAGACTTTTCAATGGCTATTGGTTTCATTAATTTCTCATAACCAAAAATTAATATCAGCCAGTAAATATTGTAGTCGCTAGAACGCATGTTTGTTTATAAAGCTTTTTTTTTTTTAATTATTAGACGCACCACACCAACCCGAAGCTTAGTTACAGCTGGTAATTAAACAGTACAGTATTTTAGTGACGGTGCAGAAGACTACGAATATGAATACGAATAAAATTTATTTGTCCTTTATAAAAAATAAAAAAAAAGGGAAAGTATCTTCAGTTGGCAAACACAGAATACTAAAACATTAAAATTTAAAAAAAAATCTAAAAAATCCATTATATTCGGT